TACAGCCTTTCTACTGCTACTCCTTGGCTTCTTCTTACTGCTGTCTTTCAGCCACACCCCTGATCTTCTGGTAGGAAAGATCTACACCTAGCCTTCTCGGAGGGCCCGTGTGCAAGTTGCGCACGTTAAAGATCCCTTGGTGGTGTGAAATCGATAAGAGTAGGCTTCGGCCGCCACCCGGGCAAAATTAAAAATTTCTTACCCACTGAAAATATTAGGTATGTCCCGCGCGCTCATATGACCTTATGTAGTTGCGAGCGCCGTAAAATACTTACAAAAACAAAAACAAACAAAAAGAGACAGAGCGATATATGCAGGCACACACACGCACGGACACGCACACACACACACACACACACACACACACACACACACACACACACACACACACAGAGTATGGGACTTACTACAGCACTACTGAATTCTAAACTTCAAGAGAAAACCAATGAAAGATTTGAAACAGCAAGAACAGCCTTAACTTTGAACTTGAGGAGAAAAACCGATTCACGAAAGATTTGACTACAATTGCCTCAATTTTGAACTTAAGGAGAACATCGAAGACAAGATTTGAAACAACATGTGCAAAGACATTAATTTTGAACTAAGTGAGAAAACTGATGAAATTATCGAAAGATGTAATACCTGTGACATTAAAAGTACAGTATTCTTTAAATTTTGAAAGCAGATTCTGCAATTTTTCCAGTTTCTTTGACAATTTCTTTGAGTCGTTGGTAGCAGTCTCATTCTAAAAGGCAGGTTAGAATTTTAATTTGTAACCTCACAAGTAAGGTAGTCCAGTCTTCTCTCTAGATACCGGTATTTCATTATTTACAGAGTTATAAATTTAACATACTCAACTTGCGAAATCACAACATTAACAAAAATTATCGAAACCACTTTGTTCTGGCTTGGAAAGATTGGGCATGAAAGAACTTGAAAAAAAAATGTCATGAAATGGTTCAAACACATCTCTTCATTATGTCATCATCTATTCAGTATTAGGAGCTGAGAGGAAAGAAACTGGAGCTCAGATCAGTTCAAGTTCTTCCTGTTTTGCGAACAAATGATTAGCTGAGTTTTCTTTTCAAAATCTGGCAGACGATGTTTAAATTTTATGACAAAAAGACAATAAAAATACAGTCAAACCTGCTCTAGTGCTCTTGACGACTACTTCCATCTTTTTCTCTCCTCCTCCCCCCCCCTCCCCCCTGTAATGGGCCATAAATGGTAGTGCTGGGCGGCTAGGTTCCCGATTATTGAAAGCTAGGAATCGTAGGAATCGACTCCGAACCCAATTACTCACTTTCTAAAGATGTGATTTCTTCCGGTGGTTACCTAATTGGCTCCGAGCGTCTTCAGGATTTAGAATAACCTTGATATAGGAACACTACGAAGCATCATTTTTTTTTTCAAAAATATTTTTTTTAAAAGAGAAGATTTTATTGATTAAAGTAACTGGTAACCGTTGGTTTACGTAAAAAGGAGTCGGAACAACTTTTCTTCCGTAGCATTAATCATGGAAATCGGTTCCGGAATCGATCCTTCGCCCAGCTCTACCATATGGCATTATCAAAACCTGCAATAACCTCTGGTTGGGACCTCAGAAGGGAACTTTTTCCCCTTTGGTTTTTTTTTACTTCCCGAGAAAACCATATCAGTTTCATGATATCAAGTCAAAGACAACTAAGTTTCTCCTTAACAACGGTTGGTCATCTCTTAGACAGGTTTAACTGTTATTTTATCAATGCTCAACCATGCTTGAAAAATAAACCCATAGGTAACAAAATACAGAAATCTTACAGGAATGGCAACACAAAAGTTTTGACAGAAGCAGAAATGGTTTTATAAATGTTTAAATAGCCTGATTACAATTCCAGCACTGGATTAGGGAACTGACACTGACAACGACAACAAGCTTGGACTGAGTTACTTAGATTGTTGTTTTGGGCGAAATCCCTACTACATTAATCAAATTTGTTTGCAAGTTGTTTTTCCAGAAATCAATGACAAACAAAGTATCAAACAACCACAGACAAAGAAACTTCCACACAACATTCCAATATTTCTCACACTAAATAAATATGTTATCATTAATCAAAGAGGTAAGGCCAGAATAGAACTTAACTATATGTTTAAAACTAGGAAACAACAAATTCAGGAGCCAATAAATCGTGACCTCAGTGCTTTCTTGTCGTATCGCCATTTTTTTTAAACTGTGAAAACAGGTCATCATACCAAAGAGTGAGCTTAAGAAGAAATCATATTTTCATTGTTGAAAAAAAAAATGGAGATATGACAAGAAAGCACTGGAGGCCATGAAATGCTGGGGATAAGACCTCTGAAAAACCAAAGATTATAAATTGAACTCACCATTTCTGAGAGGAAATTATCAGCGAAACCGTAGATGAGTATTGGAGTGGAGCTGGCCGTGCACTGCTGCACAATCTCCTCGAAGCTGTCTCCGTCCTGACGAGAGGGGGAGACAACCACCTGTGCCCCACAACGTAGCATTGGGTGATCTTGCGTCACCTCCATGACAGCCAAACCACTGGCGTTATCCTGCGATTTGTTCTCCGGCAACTCTAGGTCGGCCAGAGGAATTGTGTGCCAGGGTCCATTGTAGGCTTCCAAGTTGTCAACTAGGTCGTAATCGTCTGGCAGAGTGAGGCTAACCGTGTTGGTTTTGCCGTGAAAAATTCTGACCATGCGGAGCTTAACGTCAGAGTCGGGTTCCAGGGGCGGGAAAAATCTTTTGTTGAACAGCTCATTCACTATTCGCGACTTCGCATAAGCGTTTTGTCCGAAAATGATGACGGTCGGCGGATGCTCAATAGCGGCAGTGATCTCGCTCTCTTCCTCCTTCAGCAGCTCTGCTTCAATCACTTGAGCTGTGAAAAATTAAAAATATGATAATATTTACTTCAGGGTTAAATCTACTAGCAATCCGTCACCTCAGAGCTATTTTGTCCAAGTGTACTTTTATTTAAAAGTAAAGAGGCATTCCGGACAAAATAGGTCTGAGGTCATGAATTGAGTATAATAAAATAAAAAAAGGTTCAGTGCGGTTGTACACTTTTACATTGTGTACTTGATTGAGTTGACATCTCAAAAATCACGAAATAGAAGAGTACACTACAGACTGATTTTCAGATCAGAGAGGACGAAAAACTAGAAAATGAAGAAGAAAAGGACATGGGCACACACTCATACACAGAGCAATAAAATCAAGAAAGGGATTTCATTGACAACAAATGTTATGCAGAGGATAGAAGATTAGCGGTCACGGTGTGATCTAACTTGAATAAATAATAAATAAAAGCAAAATGTGCACATACAACAGAGACACATCTGAAACAACTATGAAACATATCTCTGCAAATGATGTCAACACCTGCACACACACACACACACACACACACACACATACACACACACACACACACACACACACACACACACACACACACAAACAAATTCAAAGCATAATTAGGCATATATTTCACTGTCACTTGTACAGAGTGCAAAAAGACTACTAATAGAGTTGAATATCCAAAAACGGGGGGGCGCGAGGTGATGTGTTCCTTTCAGAGATGGACGGACGTTAGATTTGGAGGTCTTGACTCTTAATACATTACAGTCTTGAATAGTGGGGGTTAAATCTTATACTGTGACAGAGAGAAAAATTGGACAGAGGGAGAGGAATATATCATGCAGCATTCTCAAAACAACAGCGTACTTGACTTTATTATAAGACCAACTTTACTGTTCTTTACACTGATATATGATGTGTCCAATAAGTAGGTAATAATCATGCATTTACATGTGGTATAAAATGGAACTACTAGGTGACAAAATGTAAATTCTGGCATGCATGCATGGCATGATGACTGACAATGCCAAATAACTAAATGCTTTGCACTTGTTAACAATTTCCAGTCTCCGATGCAACAGGGGCTCAGGCCAACTGGCCAAACCAAGATAAAAGACTGGAGGAGACAAGGAATTTTAAGTCAGTTCATTCTTTTGTAAATTCAAATGGGAAATTTATCTAGATTTTCAACTCTTTACTTTATGATCTCAGTTTTTTCAGACTTTTCTCCAAAACTGCTGATCAAAAATTTCAAAAAGAAGGCCAACATTAAGTACTATAAAATTGTCAGAGACAGCCACCCATTTCTAGGAGAAGAGTGGTTGTCTTAACTCTTGTCTTAGGCAAGTGTGGATGTATGTCTTAAACATTGAGAAGAACAGTTTTTAAAATCAAGGAGGGAAATAAATGGGTAGTGGTCATTTGTAGGCCTACAAAATTCGTGTCTTGGATGGGTGGACATAAAACAAGAGCAGGTTTTTTCAGGGCATTTTGGGCAAGTGCTTTACGGTGCTCGCAACTCTGCATTATAAAGGCCATTATATAATTATTATATGATTAAGCCCACGGGACACATTCATTAAACATTTTCAGTGAGTGTTGGTAAGCATTTAGAATTTTGCCTAAGACTAAGAGGTGGCCGAAGCCTTCCAAGAGCAGGTTTGACTATGTGTGAATAGAAAAGTAAGGTATAGATAAGATAAAGTCCAAAGCCAATGAGTTGAATGCCAATTACTATCAGTCAGTAAGTAGGCCTAGCCCACTACTGGTGAGTCATGCATTGTTTCAGCGAGAGGTGTTCTCAGGCTCAGGCGATGCAACTTTAATTAAGCAGACATGAAAAAATATACAATGGGCCTAAGACTAAGACTAGATCTAGATCTGGATCAAGACTCAAGATCAAAAGTCTATATATTTCTCTTGCATTGATCTTAGAGCCATTTTTCACATTCAAAGTCAAAGTGGCCACCTTTCTCACCCCTTGTGAGAATAGCTCATGACCCGTTATTCTCGGAGACCTGTGAACTCGTCACATGGTGAAGTCGTCACATATCTCCAGTGATCTCGTCACATAGGTCGGGGCAAATTTAAATTCAGCCACGGGGCAACTTCAACGCCGCCTAAACCTAGACTTGGCTTTTGCGTATCATTCGACCCATGTGTCGTTGCACATTTGATTCTATCAAAAAATAAAATCTGTGCTTCCTAGGCTTCCACTTCTTGTTTCTATTTTTAGTCAAAAAGCACAAGAAAACTGCGTATCCGCGTATTTTTCACTCTTAAAGCGGGTGAATTCGACTGGGCAAAAAGGGGCAACTTAGACAGGGGGTGAAGCAAAAGTTGGGCCTTCTATCAGATTAAATAATTAGAAAGGAAAAAGAGCTCAGAGAGGAAGACAGACAACGGTAAATTTATAGAAAAGGCCCAAACCCATTTTTAAGCCAGCTTTTTTTACTCGACTTCCATTTTTGTTTCCAGGTGGGGACCACTTCTCCCGAAAAGTGTCGTTCACTGTTATTTAGAGATACTTTTTTCCAGTGAACTCACCACACATTTTACAGCTGTGACGACTTCACCGCATGACAAGTTCACTGGTTCCAAATTCTCACCCCCACCCCAGGGTGGGCATGAGGTGAGGACTCCGTCCTGACCTCTCGCAGGTCGATAAAATCACCAAGGCCCTTGAATTGGAGGCTTACCGCAAGTGGTCGGGAAACGACTCGCGAGTGCTTGGCGCTTGTTTCCTCATGTAGGCCAACTAATTCTAGCCTACTGATTAGGGCCTACCGTTGCCATAGTCTTAGCCTTTTTTTTCCTCCTTAAAACAAATAGTCTTCTTTAAAATTAGGCTCTATAATAATTGTGAGGACCGTTAGAGGTATCAGATGCATTCTGCTCTTGACAAATCGTGCTTGCAGAAAAATAGGTAAGATTGAAGAATACCGAACTAGCGGATTGACTTTGCCTTATGTCTCAACCTTACGAATTCATAATTTTCCCGTTTTTAATATCTCTCAATGGAGAATCTCTGACCGGTAGATCTATAATTCATTCAAATTTTGTCAGGGGGGAGACCCCCCTGAACCCCCCTCCCCCCTCCTCCATCCCAACCACCCGCCCCACCTACCCCACTTTCTCGAGCAGTAATGTACGAGTGGTCCGGTATTCTTCAATCTTCCCT